CACACACACACACCGTGCTCACCTCCACACACTGTGCTCACACACACACCATGCCCACCCTCATCACAGTGCTCTCCACCTATCCACCCTCCTTACAGTGCTCCCCACCTATCCACCCTCCTCAGTGATGATTTCTATCTTATGTAGGTTTGGGACCTGGTGAAAAATCTAGGGGCACATTTGGAAATAAAATTCAGTTCTCCTAGCCACCACTGCCAAGCTGTGTGCTGTGTCCCCAAAGGGCAAAGGGCTGACTTGGGAAGCTTTCTAGATTCTCCCGTGTATCTTGGTGACCTGTGGCGTCACTGTGCATCCATGTGCTCTTCTCTCCGCAGTTATGTACTGCACCGACCCTGGGGAGGTGGAGCACTCCACCCGCCTCATCTCTGACCCTGTGCTACTGGTGGGCACCACCATCCAGTATACCTGCAGCCCCGGGTTTGTGCTTGAAGGGAGCTCACTTCTCACCTGCTACAGCCGTGAGACGGGGACTCCCATCTGGACATCTCGCCTGCCCCACTGTGTCTGTGAGTCCTGCGTTCAAACTGGGGCCATTGCTTCAGGCTTGCTCCCCCTGCCACTGAGACCACCAGCCTGGGGGAAGCATCACATTGCATGCTTGTGGTGTGCATGCAAACCATGACAACTGGCACTGACAGGGCACTTATGCAAAAGCGTTTGGGTAAACCCTGAAACTCTGTCAGCCCTCTGCTGGGTTTCCCTCACCTCTCTCTTGTTTTAAGAGGGTGTTTGGGCTGGAGAGCCAGCTCTGTGGATGAAGCACTTGCCATTCAAGCTTGAGAGCCAGAGTTTGAATCCATCCCCCAGCATCCATGTACATGGGTCATAACTCCCAGTTCAGAGAGAGAGAGAGGTCTCCTCAGTTGAGTGAGAAGTGGTACAGGAAGATGTCCGGTGTCAGCATCAACCTCTGGCCTCAGCACACACATGCATACCTGTGCGTGCACAGTCACACACATGTACTCCCACACAAAGCCAACACGCACATGCTTGCACAACACATATACATGCAAAAGAGAGGGAGAGACAGACAGACAGAGAGAGAGAGAGAGAGAGAGAGAGAGAGAGAGAGAGAGAGAGAGAGAAAATAAATAAGGAGAATATCCTAAGGCCAAGTGTGGTGCATGCCCTTTAGGGAGGCTGGAGCAGGAGGACTGAGAGTTCTCAGCCAGACTGAGCTTATCTGAGAGATGGAGGAGAGGCGTGCAAGGTTCAGAAGGGCCTTGGCTGCCCTCTAGTCAACAGAGAGTTCAGTTGCAAGGCCAGGCTTCTGATGAGCCCAAGGAGTCCTGCCCACAGCAACTACAGTTCAAGACAGTGTGGCCCAGAAGAAGGGTTTGCATGCATTGAGGTTTAAAATGGCTGTGTTCCCAGTACTCATGTCTGGCAGCTCATAACCACCTGTAACTTTAACTCTAAGGAATCTGACTCCCTCTTCTGCCCTGATGGCCAGACTGGTAACAGACACACAGATGCACACGCTTATACTTAAATCAAACAGTCAGCCATACAGAGACTTTAGAACAGCAGGCTGGGAGAGTCACAGGGGGATGTGGGTAGTGAGATCCCAGATAACACACCTGAGCCTCAGGAGCCTAGGGGAGAGCAAAGCCCTGGTAGTGGACATCTGGTGGCCTGGCTGCTCCTCCGGGGGGAGGGAATACATTCTGTGACCTGGCCCCTGATGGCTCCAGCAGCAAGAAGTCCCACCAGCAGACAGGTGGTGGAAAACAAGGAAGCCCTGTCCTGGGAGGCTGTTCAATGGCACTTGCTGTGAGCCTTGCCTTGGGCAGTGCACTGCTACCTCAACTTCTCTGTTGCTGGAAGGAAAAAAAAATCTGAGGTGTGTTGCTTCTGGTAAGGAGACAGAAACTGAAGTCCTAGAGGCCTTCCCCTCTCCTCTGCCTGTGCCCAAGATCCTGCTTGTATATACTTATGCACACATGTGCAAATTACAGAGGCTGAGATTCACAGGGTGTAATAGCCTGTATTACTATAACTAGACACTTGAGGAGATTGATTCAGAAAGAAAAAGGGGTTCATTGAGCCCCCAGTCTGTAGGTTCTATTCCAAGTGCAGTTGGTTTGATGTGCATCTTGGCTAGAGTGTGTGGTGAAACAGAGAGCTGGGGCCAGGGTCCCAGCACCTTTAAAAGAACAACTGAGCCAGGTGGTGGTAGCGCACACCTTTAATCCCAGCACTCAGGAGGCAGAGGCAGGTGGATCTCTGAGTACCAGGCCAGCCTGGTCTACAGAGCTACACAGAGAAACCTTGTCTCAAAGAAGAAGGAGGAGGAGGAGGAGGAGGAGGAGGAGGAGGAGGAGGAGGAGAAAAGAAGAAGAAGACGACGATGACGCCAACGACGACGACAACAACTGGACAACTGGACCTCCACTAGGTCCCATATCCCACAGTGCCACCCTGGGGAACGACCTCTGAGGAACATGCAACATCTGATGAAGGGGGATGGGCAGCCTCCAGAGCCCACATGCTCTGTTCTCTTCCAGTGACACCCAAGTGCCCAAAACTACCATTCTTGCAACCAAAGCTCGCCCCAGGTGAGAAGATGGGGAAAGCTAACTCTCTCCAAAGACACCCTCCCCCAGGTCACCGAAGCCCAAAGATCCCCAAGCCTGGAGCCTTCCTCCATTGAGACCACTGTTCCTGGAAATCTCCGTGTCAGGTGCAGGGTTGAGTGGCGCTGACCTCCCTGACACCCAGGCTAATGAGATCACAAGCCACAGCAGGTGCTAGAATACTAGAAAACCCTGGGAGAGCCTGGGGGAGCGGGAGGGATGGAGTAGCCTCACTGGGGGAGGGGAGAAGGAAAGTTCCTTCTCGTGGTGGCCTAGGGTGAGAGGCTGAAAAGCCGAAACTGATCCAACTTGAGGACCAGAGTATCGAGAGACTCTAATCATAGCTTGTATATCTTGGCCACTTCCTCCTTGTGAGACCCTTGACAAATGAGTTGCCTGGGCCTTGCTTTACTTGTCTGTAACATGGCCATGCTGTGAGCTGTTGACAAGGGATGCAAACTCCCCACCCTGAAAAGCCTGTCCCCACCAGCTATTGGGTGAGCAACTGTGGCAGGTGACCCATTGGTTCTTTGGTCACAGCTAAGAAGGGAGGAAGATGGTGGAATCTTTATCTCCAGGTCACTGGAGGACCCTGTAAAGATTTCTGAACCATCTACGGTGGGTGGTGTACACCGGTAATCCGAGCACTGCTGAGATAGGAGGATTGCAAGGTCAAGGCCAGCCTGAGCTGCATAGTAGCAAGACCCTTTCTCCGTGCAAAGCTGGCTGCAGGATGCTTCAGTGAGATGTTACAGGCATTTTGGTCTTGACTACCGGGATCTTGGAGACTTAGGATGGCTCTCATCTATCCAAAATGAACACCCAAATAATTCAGACATGAACTAAGTGACAAATTAACCCATTGACCATACTGTGATGTCACCTCTCCTCTGTGGATCCAACCAGATTTGCTGTCACCTAGGAGACACAACTCTGGATGTATTCGTGCAGCATTTCTAGAGAGATGACACTGTCACTATGAACCCTTGATGCGGGTGGTACCAACCTTGGGCTGAATAAAAAGGGGGTTTCATGTCTCTGACTATGGACCCAATGTGACCTGCTGGTGCCTCACACTGCTGCCACCATGCTTTCCTCCCCACAATGGACTGCACCCTCAGCTGTGAGATGGATAGACTCATCCTTCCTGAGCCTCTCAGGCATTGTGTCAGAAAACAAGTAGCAAATTTGTCAAAGTGAACTGTAGATCTTACTGGACCTTTCAGAACAGCGTCCTGCAGCCAGTGTGGCAGCCCACACCTGCAATCTCAGCATGCAAGCGGGGTGAGGCGAGGGCTGTGGAGTCATTTGTTCCTCAAAGGGTTATAGAGAACTAGCCTGGGGTGCTACTTCCATCTGCTGGTCATTTCTGGGTACTACAGGGATTTCGCGGGGCTTTCAAGGTGTCCTCTCTGTTCTGGGAGGATGGGGACCAGATCCTCCTCAGTGCTCAATGCTGCTGAGAGAATAGAACAGAAACCGGCTGACTGCCTCCACTCCAGCCAGCTCCCAGGACAGACCTAGCACAGACAGAGTTCACATCAGCTGTCTACCAAGCCGAGGAGCACACACCTGGTAGTGGCTGCAGGACTTCAGGCTAACGGGGCTTGATGAACTTGCTTCATGAAGTAGTCACATCTGACTAAGCAAACCAGAAAGATCAGAACCGACATTTAGACTGGACTTCACAGCACACACTTGTCTGCTCCTTCTTGGGGCGGAGCTAAAGCAAGAAGCTTGTGAGTTCAAGGCCAACCTGGACTACAGAGTGAGACCCTGTCATTAAAAAGACAAAGGATAGAAAAGTAACTCGCTGGTCAAGCGTCTGTTTGGAGTACTTAAGATCCAGAAAATAAGCTAAAAATTAAATTAAATTTAAAAGTCCTTCCTCCCACAAACCCAGGCAGGATCTTCAGGGTTTAACATCCCTGGCTGTGCCTCAGGTCTCATCCGTGGATATGCAATGCAAGGAGACTTGGAGATTTCCCAGGAGGTGCTGTGGCATGATTGTGGACTCAGCTGCAAGTCTCAAACTATGCACAGAGCCAAGGGCAACCTCGAAGTCTATGGATGACCTTCATCTCCTGTGACAATAGCATTGGCCAAGCCTGGTTCTCATGAGCCACTCTCAGAAGCTGATTTGAAAGGGACTCTGCACTGGTCTGCACCCCTGCCACTGCTGTGACGCCCTGTCTCTCATGGAAGGAGGCCACATCTGTCTCCTCCCACGTGTGTATCTTGTGGACTCCTGAGAACATGAGTGCATACATTCTCAAGGGCAGGGCACAGCCTACCTTCTCTGCAGGTCCCACAGCTGGGAAAGTCTCTAGGAAACAGGTGTGAGTGCCTGCTGAGATATGTCCACACTATCACTATCATCTGAGATACACAAGCCTCTCGGATGGTGACCAGGAAGGGCCCTTTCTGCTCATCCTCATGTGTCAGTCTCTCTGTTAGTCACTCTAACAGAGAGGAAGCTCCATCTGGGCCATGTGTTCTACTGTGCCTCTGGCCTCAGTTTTGTGGGGGCTAAGCTTGGATTTGTTTTATTTATCTTGGTGAACTGTGAGGATGAAATGCCATCTCAAGAAGCAATTTCATGGGGAAAATGATTGATTCTGGTTTACAGTGGAGGGGTTGCCATCCAGCATGGTGAGGGTAGGGGTGGGGGAGCAGTTAGGCTGACTGGCTGATCACATTACATCTGTACTCAGGAAGCAGAGAGGAAAAGGAAAATATGGAGGGGAGGAGTCACATACATCTGAATTCAGGAAGCAGAGAGGGAACAGGAAATGGTACCAGGCTATGAAACCCCAAGGCCTGCCCCCAAAGATATACATCATCCAGTGAAGCTTCACTCAATGGTTCAAGAACCTTCCCAATGAGTGCTCCCAGTCAGGCAACAAGTGCTCCATCCCAACCAATGCTCTCAGCCAGGCAATAAGTGCTCCATCGCATGAGCCTGCAGGTGACACTTTTCAGTGTCATTCAAACTACAACATAACTCATTCTTGTGTGCTGGACCATGGAAACTATGCAGGGTGTGTTAGTTGACTGAATAACTGAGTGTTTCCTGTCAACCAAACCCTGTGCTGGGTGCTGGGATCCTGCATGAGCACAGGATAACATTGAGTTCCAGGAAGGAGGAGCATTGGAGAGAACACACACCAACGCCGCCACCCACCTCCACACGCAGTGCTGGGGACATTACAGAAGATCCAAGGACATTGAAATACCCAGGGGTAGAGCTGGGTCAGCAAGGGGTCTTTAAATGATACATTTTACTAAAGGAGAGGCAACACCATTTCAGGTCCTTGCTGTGGGTCACAAGTCTGGGGTCTTTGTGGGCCCTTCAGCCTGTACTTTATGGACCTATCTAGGTGGCAATGCACACCACAGCCAGGTGTCTCACCCACCGCATCGGGCTGCATTTGCTAGAAAGAAATAAGTGCCCATCTCAGGCAGTATCATCAAAGGGGAAGTGCCCCAACCCTTCCACTGGGTTCACAGCTGAAAGTGAGTCTTAGGGTCCTGGCCATACTCAGGGGTCAGTCCCAGGAGGCAGAGACCACACAGCCATCTCCACATATGTTTGTGGAGCTCACTTGTGACAAAGGGAGAGAGAACATGCAGGGAGAGAGAGAGGAGGGCAGGAGAGGGGGAGAGAAAAAGAGAGGGAATGCAGGGAGAGAGACAGAGGAGAGAGGGCAGCGAGAGGGAAAGACTGCCCTTCACATGACAAGGCGCATGTGTTTAGTGTGAGGTAGGCACAGTAGCAGGGGAGGGAGATGAATTGGCCCTGGGGGACAGTTAAGAGCCACTACCAAATGCTTCCAGGTCCTGTGGGTCTAGACAGGCCAGTTCTCCTGAGACCTGGCCTGGGGACTATGGGTTTGAGAAGACGGGTTACACTTGGAAGATGGAAGACTAGGCCACAGGCTTGCCTCGGGTCTCTTCTCTCCTAAGGCTTGCTCACTTGCTGAAGCTCACTCCCTCTCATCTTTCTGAATGCAGAGCTGCTGGTGCAGGAAGCAACCCCTGAAGCCAGAGTGAGACCCCACTGGTGGGTCTGTGGAAACCCTGGAAACCTGTGTGCATCATTAGTGAGAACATAGCATGGGGTAGCTGATGTCCAAGAAAGTCAAAATGGGGGCTACCCTGGGACCCAGTGGTTATTTTTCTAGGTGTCTACCCCAAGAACCAGAAGTGGAACTCAGCCAGATTCTCACACTCACGAGGAAGTCAGCACTGTTCCCATTAGCCTACCAGTGTAGGTAAGCCATGTGTCCACCAATGGGAAATGAGGACAAGGGCATGGTCTGCTCGTCCATGGACTACTACTCAGCCTTAACAAAGGAAGCACTTATGACATGAAGGAGCCTCGAGGACCTTTGCTAAGTGAAACAAGCCATTCCCCCTAGAGTACAGTCACACCTGTGGGAATCCCTACCTTCCTTGGGTTCACAGACTGGAAGCAGAAAGCTGGAGGCTCCAGCAAGATGTGCTAAGTCCTAGAGGTCAGCTGTTTGCGGCTAAGCTGGTAACCTTTGTGGAGAGCTTGCCACAATTTATACTCTTGTAAATGTTTCAGGATTTGTGATGCTGAGCGATGTTTGCTGGCTGTCACCCAGAGTCAAATGGCTCAACCCAGCAAGTTCCACTCTAGGTCTCCCAGGACTTGGCATCGGCAGTACCCAGGAGCAGCCACCAGGGGGGAGTGTGAACCTAATGGTTGCCGCCACTCAAGGCTCTTGGCGTTTGGTTCCACTGACTAGTCTCAGGGGAGACAATTGTCCTGAATAATGCAGCATTTTACAGTGTGGGCACTGTGGGGCAGATGAAGAAAACACTAGAAATCTGGTGGCAGGTGGCAGCGTGGAAAGATTCCTGGAGGAGAATTGAGTGATGGACACCAGACCCGGACATGCCAGATGGGCTCTGGATGAGTGGACAGTCTTTTTAATTGATCACCACCAAGATTCATCATTTACTGAACACCCTCCACATGGCAAGGACATTCTCCACCTCTTACATCCATCCTCCTATGAATTCCTGCAGTCATATTCCCATTTGCCAAGGGGAAAACTGAAGATCAAAGAGTGTGTAATACTTCCTGAGGTCACACAGCTAGTAAATGAGAGAACTGAGTTTTTGGTTTTGATTTTGTTTTTGTTTTTTAACCTGATTCCACAACCCTATTCATTCTGGGGTGCTCACATGTAGTGTGTATCCAGAGATGGGAGAGGAAATGACAAACGAAACCCGTCTGAGTGCAGGATGGGGCTCTGCAGAGGGAATGCTTCGGGGTGGGCTAGGTCACCCAGAGACTGGTACTAAGTCTGAGACAGACTCTCAGAGCCCATATCTGGCTTCTTTCAGCTGAGGAGTCCCTGGCATGTGACAATCCTGGGCTGCCTGAGAATGGGTATCAGATCCTGTATAAGCGGCTGTACCTGCCTGGAGAGTCCCTCACCTTCATGTGCTACGAGGGCTTCGAGCTCATGGGTGAAGTGACCATCCGCTGTATTCTGGGACAGCCGTCCCATTGGAGCGGGCCCCTGCCCATCTGCAAAGGTAAAGAGACCTGAGGAGCCAGAGTCAGGGTTGGCTCTGGGAGAAGCTGGGCTTGCTCTGAGGGTGGGCTTTGTGGCTTCATGGAATCCAAACCCAGCAGTGCCTGTCCCGTCTGTTTTCTTCCTTTGGTTCACACATTTGTTTCTTGAGACAGGGTCTCACATAGCCCAGGCTGGCCTCAAACTTCATTTGTAGCAGAGGCTGGCCTTGAACTCCCTAGCCTCCTGCTTCCATCTCCCGAGTTCTGGGACTGCAGGTGTGCATTCCCACACCCATTCTTGGTCCCTTTTATGTTACTATAACAAAATACCTGAGAACAGTTAGTTTATAAAGAATAAAGTCTATTTGGTTCAGGGTTGTGGAGACCGAGAGTCCAAAGCAGAACTCTGCGCTTGTGGGGGGCCCCATGCTGCCTGTTGACATGGCAGGGCCCTCTCATGGTGGGACAGAGAGAGCATGCCAGTCCTTACAGAGACACTGAAACCCAGTCACTGCCCAAAGCACATCTTCCAACAACATCAACCTATGAATCTGGGGACTAATTCTCTAGCTGGGGGCCCATTTGGAGGACTGCAACTAGCTAGCATCTTAGCAAGGGTTGTTGTCACTGCTCTGTCGAAATGTAATCAGAAGTCCCGGGGACCTGCCAGAACATAAATGCAGAGTAGCCAGCATGATCTGGCCACTATCAGTGCCATCATCCCATTTAAACCTTCACTTCCAGGCTCTACCTCTGGGAATACCCTGGTCTGGGCAGTTCAGTGCTCAGCTAGCATGGTGACTTTGGTGACAAAGCACAGGATATCATCCCTGGTACTTTGAACCTCAGGACTTTATAAGAAATATGAGTTTATAAGAATAATTTTATATAGAATGCAGAACCCAGTCAATAAATATGGGCAAGAGATACAATGCAAAGGTTTAAGTGACATGGATTTCAAAGCCGGAGCCAGTTCACCCCAGCTGCAGTCAGTGTCGGGGTCTCGAGTCACACCTCCTTGCAAACACTATAAAATATTGGTCTCATGAAAAGACTACTAGTTAGAGGTGGTGTGGGGGAGGGTGTCACACAAACATCTTTGCAGCAACTGGGAGTCTGAAGTTCAAGCCCAGCATAAGAGGCTGTGTCAAAACAAACAAATAAAACAACAACAACCAAAAAAAGTTAAGAGCTGTGAAAGAAGCTGAAGCCTCCGGCTTGGAATTCCATGCTCATGACTGAGAAGCTGTGTGATGAGGGAGGGGAGGACTCTCTACAGTCCTCCGAACCCATTGTCTTATCTGTAAAACGTGGATAATAATCAGCAATTACATGTGTGGAAGGAGACTGGCAAGGGCTGGCTGGGGGTGTTCAGGAGCTCGTGGCACAATGTAGAACACATGGCATCACCATCGTGAGGCCGTGGCTACTTGCCCACCTCTTTCCTCTCACTGCCTTGGGGGGGTGTTGTGGAGGGAGTTGTCCTGCATGACACCAGCAGCGCCACTCGCACACTGCGCACCCTGGGCTTTGGGTTGTAGGCCCATCGGCTTCCTCTTGTGCAAACAAGAAGCTCCCTTGGTGTTGACACTGCTTCCTGGTTTCTATTTCAGTTAATCAAGACAGTTTCGAGCATGCCCTGGAAGGTGAGTTTTACTCTCTCTTGAAAGTTCCAATACCTTGGGTGGCTGTGTCATTAGCTTTTCCCAGGGTCATCCAAAAGTGGCTAGTAGGGATGGAGAGGAGGCTAGGCAGTTAAAAGTGAGCTGCTCTCACAGAGGATCTGTGTTCTGCTCCCAGCACCCATGTCAGGTGGCTCACAACCACCTGCAACTCCAGCTCCAGGAGAATTCAATGCTCTTTTCTGGCCTCTGTGGGCAACTGCACTCATGTGGCACACACACACACACACACACACACACACACACACACCACATATGAACACATATACACACTTGCACACAAGAGAGAGAAGAAACAATAATAAAAGTGTTTTCAGCTAGGTCCCAAAACCTGAAGGGATTTGACAGTGGCGATGCAATCAGAGAAACCTGAGAAGCCCTGGCCCTGCCAGACAGCTTCCATCACACAGGTGCTGTGGGGATAAAAACAGCCTCACCTCACATCCTGGATAGAGCATCCTCTGACAGCTAAGTAAAAGGCTGCTGGGAGCATCCAGGGCCCTGCCTCCCTTCTGTCTCCTCCTGGGCACAGCCCCCTCCCCCTCTCTCTCTCCGGAGGGTGCTTTGTGGGACAGGTGACAACAGCTAGCCAGGTTCTCTCACTTTTTAGATTCCTTCCTTTCTTCCTTGTCTTAGTTACTTGTCTCTTTGTTATAACAAGACACCTAACAAAGGCAGCTTAAGGCAGGAAGTGATTACTGTGGCTTACCGGTCCAGGGTACAGCCTGTCGTGTAAGGGGAGACATGATGACAGGAGAATGAGGCAATAACTCACATGCCACCCACAGTCAGGAAGCAGGGACAAACACTGGTGCTCAGCTCACTTTTTCCCCACCTCACTTAGACCTTTCCAGATATCTCACACCCAGAGGTGTGCCTCCTATGTATACACACCTCCCTGATCCAGTCAGTACAGCCATGAAAATGAACCCTCCCACACATGCAGCAGCCTGCCTTGTGCACCATGTCCATTCAGTGTGGTGCAGGACCGTGGACACAGATGACAGTGATGTGTTTGTCTCAGTTAGAAAAAGCTTTAACCAGTTCAACGGCTGTTCCCGTTGTCTCTAACACCATTAGCGTCGTTCTAACAACATGGCTGGGTATCAGGCTGTATGAGTTACAGGTCATTAGCTGATATCACTTTGATCCAACAAATAGAGCAGGGAACAAAGATTAAGTGTTGGGAGAATAATGGGTCAACTGTTCATGGGAAGCAGGGTGCCCCATGGTGTCCCTCTGACTGGGATTCCCAGGCTGCCTCTTGCTGCACGGTGAGCAGTGAGAAGGCCACCCAGGACCCTGTGCTCAGGAAGCATGAACAGAGCCAGAGTCCTGGCTGTGTAAGGTCGCTGTGGAGGTCAGGATTGGTTATTTCCACCCACATGGGTGGTAGCTAATGGGTTACAGATGAACTTTGTCAGACATGACCACAGAAAATGGCAGAGGAGGCCAAGCTTCTAGAAGCAATGTGAGAGAGGGAAGATTCACCCTCAAATTGTGCTGAGAAAGTACTCCCAGCCACCAAGATATCTGCCATGATCTCTGCAGTTGCCACATGCCTGGGGGCAATTGCCCTAAGCCACCCCTGTGTGGCATCATACTGGCAAGTTCTAGAAGGGTCTCCAGCCTCATGCAGCTGCTCACAGAGGTAGCCAGAGAGCAAGGTGAGATTGTTCCTGAACTATGTCCAAGTTGCCCCCTGAGTTGAATTTTAACCAGATTTCTGCCCTCTCCCCAACCCTCCAATGGGCCTGGAATGACTAGGGTACAAACTAGTTCTCTGCCACCCTCTGCCCACCATTGCCAAGGGTGACTCTGGACTCCCTAGCAAGGGTCAGCAACCCAGCCTCTGCTGTCTCCATCCTTCCATGACTCTCCAGTGTCTAAGGCTGTGGGATGTCAGCTAGGGTGGGGCACCCACTTGAGAGCCAGGTTCCCCATGGGTGTGGAGCTGGTGGGAGACAAGGGCCTCAGTGGCTTGTGTGCTCAGTAGCAGAAGCGGCAGCAGAATCTTCACTGGAAGGTGGGAACATGGCGCTGGCCATCTTCATTCCGGTCCTTCTCATCTCCTTGCTACTGGGAGGAGCCTACATCTACGTCACAAGGTAGGTGGGGTCATGCAGCTGTGAACTGCACCTCTGGGGCCTAAACATCTCTGCCTGGCTCTTAGATATAGTGGCCTTGTGTGATGTGGGGCATTGTGGCCAGAATCAGGAAGCATCCTGGTGCCTCCCAGTTCCCCTGTGATATCACAGCAATGGTCATTCCTCCATTCACTGTCACTTAGCAAATGCAGTCATGATCCTGGGTGCTGAAGGTCACAGCACTTGCCCTCGATGGACAGAAAGCCACATCCAGAACAGTCATAGGCACATCTACTGCTCAGTTACAAGCTGCGGCCATGCGTGTGCCAGCAGCCTCTGGGCTCTGTGAACATTCCAGTGAACAAAGCAGACTCTAGTGAGGAAAAGTAGCTGATCTCCAAAGCACAGAGGGAAAGCAAGTGCCAGGTTGGTGACCAACAGAAGAAAGCATGGGAGGAAGAGCGAAGGCTCTGGGACAGAGGCTGTGTGCTTGGGTAGAGCAGATAGGAGAGGCTACATTGGGTACCACTTTTGAACAAACTTTAAAGTGATAGTGTGTGAACTGGGAGGCCAGCAGGCAGAGAACAATGTGTGAGAGGCCCTGGTAGACTTCATCCTTGCACTCTGCAGTGCAGTGAGTGATGAGGTGTGGTCCAGGGAGGCAGGGGAGAATAAATAGACACAGAAATTACTTCACAAGTCAAACCAATTTGGACTCCTCCTTCCCAGGAAGGAAGGTGGCAAGGCTGGCTCACTACAGCCCTATGGGGTGTTGAGTGGAGGGTACTTGCCCTCAATGGGACTCTCACTGACTCATGGCTGTGTCCATGTACTCCACACCCTTGACAGAGACTCCTGCAGAGCCTTGGGGGCAGCAGGACAGGGGTGCAGCTCATGCTCTGCTGTCTGTCCTGCAGGTGCCGACAATACTCCAGCCTCCGCCTGCCCCTCATGTATTCCCATCCCTACAGCCAGATCACCGTGGAAACTGAGTTTGACAACCCCATCTATGAGACTGGGGTAAGTGGTACCACTGGTCTCCTGGGGGATGCCCCCTTGCCCAAAGCATGGCTGGCAGAGGGACCACTGGGGAGTCCTGCCTCATTGCTACCAAATCCCCTACTGAGCCAGGTGTTGGGAGAAGGCAGCTCTGTTCACCAGTGATTAGAGCCAAGCTGGGGCATTGAGGGGAAGTTGTTGTGTCTAACTGAGTCCCACTCTTTAAAGGCATCATGGCCCATTCTGCACCTTGCAGTGCTGGCTCCTGTTGGACAGCTGGGCATGGTAATGATGCTATAGCCATGCATCACTTACAGACAGGCATATGATCTGAGAAAGAGTGTCCCCTGACCTCCCTGTCAGGAAAACTTCACAGAGGACTCACTCATGAACCTGAATGGCCCAGATCACTCACTCTTTGGGGCCTCAAGAGTTAAGCTAGAGATGCAGGGTATGTGGTGCCCTCACATGACTTGTGTTTTAAATCCACATCTGTGAGTAGGGTGAGCAGTATAAACACAGGGAACAATGGATGTTCAGGCAGCAATAGCAGGGGTTCCCTGTCCTCTTAGTGCACTGGGCAGGCATGCCACCTACATGTGCTGGGATTGTGTACCACAGGCAGGCACCACAGCCTGGCCTCCAGCTCCCAAGTGCTGTGGTGGGTGACTATGTCCACACTGGGCAGTGGAGCTCTTTCAGCTCCGGCAAAACCTGCCAGTACCACCAAGGACTGCAACTATGATCATAAAGCTGGCTACAGGTACGATCTCTCACTCCCGAGATTTCCAATGCCTGGCAGAGCACACAGGCATCGACTCTGGTGTGTGGTGTGCCACGTGACAGGCATGTGACCCTCAGACGCTACCCTGTGACTCATGGGGACATGGAGGTCCAGTGAGATGAAACCAACTCAGACAAGACTGTACCCAGCCAGGAGGAAGGAGGCTATCCTAAGCCCTCATGCTCTCCTGCCTCCATCAAATGTGTCCATGATTATGATTAATTATCACTCTGAAGGACCATGAAAAGTAGCCAGGCTCTACGACTGTGTGTTGGGGAGACTTGAGAGGGCTGGAAACACTGTTTGAGGAAGAGATCATAAAACTGAGATATAGATGTGTGAAAGTCAGATGACAGCTGCAGAAAATGCAGATGGGGTGTGAGACAAGGTCAAAGCATGCTTATGGGGAGCCACCAGGCTTAGGGCTTTGTGACACCTCTGCCCTCACTCAAATCATCATGTCATGACGTATCCCTGCTGTTAGAAAATGAGCAAACTTGTCCCTTGTCCACACAGTCCTGCCCCCATTCCTCCTCCTTTGATCTTCTGTGTGAAATATCTCCTATATAAACACTCCACGCTGGGGCTCACAAGCCATAGCCACAGGCTCACTAAGGCTTAACCTGGAAATGATCCATGCCACTCTGGCTCCCATGGTTGCTTAGAGCAACTTAGACAGGGAAAATTGTGGATAGTAACAGGGAAAGAGGCAGTCTACCAACAGAAATGAACGAGCTTGGAAATGAGCCAGAGTTAGATTGGCCACCCTACTACCTCTGACTTGTCCTTTACGTGTTGTAAGAGTTCTCTGCATAGGTTGCTTTGTTCCCTGAAGCCTAGGGAGGCCTTGCAGTCATCTGATCTTTGCTTCTTTCATGTCTGTCTTGATGCCTCTGGAATTCCCCCCACTCACTCTGCCCTGCCCTAGTCTCGTACCTACCCGGGCATGAGCTTTAGAAGGTGGGGACCATGGGAACTACCTTACACTGTGCCCATGGTACTTCCCATCTGCCAGGAAGTGTCGATGTGATCACCATCGCTGTGTTAGCATTGCAGGAAGTAACAGTGGCACATCCCAGGTGGAGCCTATGATTTTATTGGCTCCTGACCCCTGACTGGCTCAGGGAGCAGTGGAGAAAGGCGACCAGCCACAACTGGTGGAGATGGCATTCAAAGGATGGGTATTGGTCTGGGGAGAGGGAGGGGTTCCAATTACCTGAGAGTCAGAACACATTTTCCTTAGTATGTCTGATGCAGTGGGAGGTGCTAGCATCGGTGGGATGGGACTCCTAGAAGACCAGCTGTTGTAGGGTCTATGCTTGTCCTTTTCCCCTCTATGGTCACAGTGTTGGTGGAAGGTCAGGCCCCAGAAAATGCCACAGTGTGTGTGTGTGTGTGTGTGTGTGTGTGTGTGTGTGTGTGTGTGTGTGTGAATGGACAGAGCAGACCTACAGTGCAGAGGCATGGGGGCAAGGCCAGGATATAGGGAGGTATGATACCCTAGACAACTTGGAATGTCGTTCTGTCACTCAGGACTTGACTCATCTGTGCCACTCTGTCCTATAGGAAACGAGAGAGTACGAAGTCTCCATCTAACAAGAGCTGCCCCAGAAAGGGGGACTTTAGAGACGGACATGCAGACGTGAACTGTCAGGACCTCCTTGGAAATCCATCAGAGACCTCGTGGTGTTGGGCTGTAGCCATCGTGGCAGCCATCTTTTCCTCTACACTTCTGACTCAAATGTTCACTGTTTCTCCGCACTACTTACTATATTTAAAATTGAAGGTATTGAAATTGGTGAGTTTGTTACATTGGGGGCTGCAGCCAAGGTCACGTGACAGCCTCTGTTCCCAAGGCAAATGAAGTAGCAAATGGCAGCAAGTGTCAACACGGCGAGCAGATCAAGCTGGATCAGCAGTGCCAAGCTTGGGCTGCACCGCCCTGCATGGTCTTCAGCAGCAGGCCACAGTGTACTTGGTACAAACGGAAGTCCCAGGGTTGTCAGAGCGTCTCTTGCAGGGCTGCCTTGGAGTACTTAAGCCCAGTTATTTCTCCTTCAAAACAAAACCTGTGTCCTCTTTTCCAATTTTGTGAGTGTCTAAAAGGTCAGAGCCTGTCCTCTCCCTCCCACAGATTTCAAAGGCAGCAAAGATTTTCTAAGTATTTTCTGGGCTCAGGCAACACTGATCCTGTGAGAAAACAACCCCTCTCTTAAAAGGTGATAAGCCCCCAAGGAGGACTGTCAGGAATGAGGCATGGGGATCCTGGGGAAGGGAACTCCAAAGAGCGTGGATACCAGGTGAGCTGTGTGCTGGAACCCACCTCTGCTTAGCAGGGTCACCCTGAGGCTGGGGTTATAAATCCACTGGCAGCTTGGACTACAAAGTTACAGGGTCTGCTGTGGAGGTGACCTGAAAACCAGGGATCAGCTCTGATTGTCATCTGGGGTTCTTGGATGTCTTTGACATAGGTGGGATTCAAGTAGGGAAGATATTACCTCCAGCTCCCTTTGTTTTCACATGGTCTTTGTCAGGGGAAGGTGCTGAGGAAGAAGGTCCTCTCTGGCCTCCGAGGCTCTGAGTCCCAAGGGAGCATCAGTGCCCAAGCAGACGCCCTGTGTACAGATCAGGGTGGAAAACACAGGAGAACAAGGCACAAGGCCCAGCTCGAACCTCAGTAAAAGCCAAATGTTTCCAAACCACAGGCCCTCCCCAGCCGTCATCTACTACTCCTTGATCAGAGTCCTTCAAACCCCCATCCAGCACAACCAGAGATCATGGCTATCCAGAAGTTTATTTTCTAAATACAATCCTGAAGAAAGGTACGGGGCTTAGGTGTTGGAGGGGACAGCAGGTATGAGGGGTGGCAATGATCATGTGCAGACCATGTGGTGACCAGGAGGGGACTGGTCTTCCTCCAGGAAAGACCCCTGCATGCATATGCTTGACCACTGTGGCTAGGGGTTTCTGGCCACCCAACCCATCCACCTACCAAGAAACCAGGAGAGAAACCACAGGCTCTAGGGAGCAGGGACCTTTGGGGGGAAAGACCCCACTACAAATGATGTGACCTCTCTCCCAGAGGCAGAACCTATTAGAGATGCTTCCAACCCCAGCCCTGTATCACCTGTGAACTCTGTCCTTGCCGTTTGATTTTAGTCCGCTCTATGACCCTGTGGAAACTAAGTCTTTGCCTTCTATAAGGTCTGAGAGTGTGTGAGGCCCCTCCAACCCTGCTCCCTAAAGCTGACCGGGTCATGCCCAGATCATCTCTCGGCTATTGGGGTGGGTAAAAAAAAATGTTGATTTGTTTTTGCAGGAGATCAATGTCTTAGTTCTGTCTTGGTGGTACAGTCTCGGTAACCATGTTTTAAAATATGTTCTAGCCTAGAGTTGGATCGTGTGAGCTCTCAATGTGCAATGATTGAAAGGGTGTGATGGTGTCTAGTTTTGGTTTTTTTTAATACCTGACTGTGTATTTGTAACATGTAAAGGTTTGGAAAAAAAAAAAAAGATGCTACCAGTGCCGAAAATACACAAAGTATCCCATCACCGCTACCAGTGCTGAATATATACAAAGTATCTCATCACTGCCCATCCTTGTCTGTTTTTACAAGGTGGAAATTTGAACCCATGGGGATTACTTTTGTGAACTGGATACACTCGTGAGCCCTTCTGCAAGCAGTTCCCCTTTCTGATGTCAGTGGGGAAACACGTTTACAAAGCGCAGGCTTCCAGAATGTGTGCATCCTTCATGCTGATCCATGCAGGCTCTTCCTGGCTCCTCCCTCTTCTGCCTGGAGTTCGCCTTCCCCTTTAGCTTCCTTTTTGGTAGACTCACTTTGCCAGCATAAGTATTCTGACCTCTGTCTGGGGGCCATCTTTCCAAGCATCCCACCCCGAGCCTTTGCAACCAGCTCTTTGGAAAATTCACAAACCTCAGGGGACAACTCTGAAATTCCACATACAGCCCTGGAGAAAGAAAGGGGTTACAGCCAGAATGGTGGCACCCCAGGGACTCCAACGAACCGATGGATAGCTTCAGAAACCATAGGCAAAATGATGTCTCCTTTGGGCATGACCTTTCTGTGTCTTGGATGAGGCCCGGTGAGATGGCACTCCAGGTCCGGTCTTGTGTGGCACTCAGCACCCGAGGAGGTAGGCATTTTCTCGGATGCTTGCTTTTTCATTTATCATCAAACAGAATTTTAAAAAAAAAGCAAACTTTCTAAGCTAGAAAAACAAAATAAAATCATTTTCCACTTTGTATATATTGCTGCTAATAAAACATGTAAAAGAGTGGTGGGTGTGGATTTTGTTCCCAAGGCTCCAGTGTGACATCAAGGGCTATGTTTTCCAGCTTCTAAGGATTGGAGTGAGTTACTTCAGATGCTAACACAAGACTTTCCCTCTCTACAATGGCCCTAGGCATGTTTTAAGGGACTTTTAAAACAAGACCTGTCTAGGGGACTGCTATCAACACAGCCAGCCAGGACTCCAGTCTCAGGCAGTCTCCACAAGAAAGACCTACCTCTCCGAGCTGTGGAGGCTGCAGGTTCAACATCAATATGCTGGTCTGTTCAGTTCCTGGTGGGGATTCTTGTTCTGACTTGATGTGGCCCCTTTAAAATACAGGCTTTATGTAGCTGAGGGGAATAGAGAGAGAAAAGAGGGAGGTGGAGGATAGAGGAGGGGAAGTGTGCTGGTCTCAAGAAAATCCATCCCAGTAGGCCCCAAGACTCAGACATGATCTGTTTCCTTCAGTCCTAGAGGCCCCCAGGGCAGGACAGTATCGTCCCCATTCCCACACTCCCTGCCTCTGAGTGCCAAAGGAGAAAGCTAAGTTAATGATACAGGGCCAGTGATGTGGTTCAGTGGGTAGAGGTGCTTGCCACCAAGCCTGGTGGTTTGAATCTGGTCCTGGGACCCACAAGGTAGGAGAAAACCAACTCTAGCTCTCCTCTGACCTTCTCGTGCATGTTACAAGTCCACACACATAGCAAACAAGCACACAAAAAATAAGTATAATTTCATTTTTTTTCAATAGACCAAAAACTCCAAAGCAGTCCATGAAGATAAACATTTTCTTTTCTGGTAATAGTGTATTTGAGTACTAGATAGTTTTCAACTGTGTTCTTCAAAAGAGGATTCCAGATGGTTTCTAAGGGGGAAAGGGACGGCGACATGTTCCTATAATCCAGCACCGGGAGGCCAGTGGAGGCAGGATTCCTTACTCAAGTCTGTCCTGGGCTACCTAGTAAGACTGTGTCTCAATTAAGCAAACCAAACAAAAAAGTTTCCAAAGATTACAAAGTTTTAAATTCATGTGTCTGAAGCTAGTAGACTTCCTCAGTAAACATGAATAAAGAAATGTGTTTGTTCCTACATCAGCAATGTCTGTGTGTTTGTGTTTGTTCCTTTGTGGAGACAGGGTCTCCCTCAGCCATGAGCACAGCCTCAGAGGGTGGGCTGTGGTTTCATTAACATCAATTCTGTTACCCATTTCCCAGTCTACCTCGGGACACCCCCCCACACACACACACACCTTCTGGTCAGCAAGTCTCTGTAGAGTTGACTTGAATGGGTGGGGCACAAAGCAGTCTAGGAGAGTGAGTTACCTGAATAGGAGGCAGACTCTCTAGTCCCAACCCCCTTTCTCTCTATCTTAACCTACCCATGTGCCTGATGGGAGACGTCCTTCTGTATATATTTTTCTCTTATTGGTTGATGTATAAAACACTGATTGCTGCTTGGCCAGGTAAGAAATATAGGTGGGTCTAGGAGACAAGGAGAATTCTAGGAAAGGTAGGCTGACAGAGTCACCATGTAGGCCACCAAAGGTGTAACAAGTCCAGACCCTTCTCTATTAAGATAAGACCACATGGAAATACTTAGATGAGTAGAAATAGGTTAATAATTAAGACAGAACTAGCCAGTAAGAAGCCCTAGATTCATAATTAATATAGTGTCTGTGTGCTTATTTGGAACTGAGAAGGGCAGTGGGACCAGCTGGGACAAAGAACCTCTTGTTACATATGCTTTGAGCACAGCAGTCCCTGCATGGAAGCAACTGCAGGCAGCAGCAGAAGTAAGAACACAGTGGGCAGGGAAGGAAACCTGGGTCTCAGAAGAGCCTGCATTCCTCCACCCAAGCAAGCAGATCTGAAGCACAGCTCCAGCCAGCATCAAGACAAGCACACATTCTGCAGTGAGAGGGCAATGAGCTAGAGGGTGGCCCCCTGGACATGGGGAAGGCAGGAGCACTGAAATTCTATCCGATTTTCAGATTCTTTGCCTCTATAAACTTTCATCTGAAGTTTCTCTCTCACACTTCTCTGATACACATGTATATGTGTGCAAGTTTATGTGTGCCCTGTGCACGTAAAGGCCAGAGGGTCACCCCAGTTGTCATCCTCCAAACTCCATACACTCCTTTGAGATGGGGTCTCTCCTTGGCCTGGAGCTCACCAAGCCCCACAGATCCTCCTGTTTCTGCCTTCCAAGTGCTAAGTTTCTCCTGAGTAGCCCAGACTTGCCTAAAACTTACAGCAATTCTCCTGCCTCAGCATCCTAAGTGATGAAGTGACAGGTGAGCC